CAGTTTTTTGTAGACTTGCGGAAACTTGTAAAACAACCTGAAGACAGTGATTGGGAAATTATTTACTAATTGCATAATTTGAAGCATGCTAACATTTAGCACTGTATTTAGAATATGAAATAAAAAAAACCGTTATTAGGAGGTTGTAGTTTGATAATAGGTAACAATTAGGTCAGGTGACCAAAGCAATTCAGGGATATCTTTATAGCCCTGTGTCGAGAAGTCTAATATAACAGGCCAGTCTCACGACACCCAACTTGCCACTACCACACATATAGTAGAAGTGCATAATTTACTTAAAATGGCAAAAATATGCATTATTCCTAAGAAATATTGACTTACTATGTTCACACTGTATTCACATTGACGAGGAATACTTTAAAAAGCTACTAATGGCTCATAATCACATTAGGTCGTATTAATCGCATAAATGGGGACAGGATGCCATCTATCATATTTTTCTACGTGTTTCAACTACTTCGCTATCTAGCCAGTTTATTAACATTAATTTATAATATAACATTAACTGTTACAACCTATTAAATTTTTATGCTATTTATCCGTTGGATGACGCAAAATCCAAAACCACCCATAACCACATACCCTGAGTCAATCACTTACAATATGTCAAGTACATTTCTATTCAGTGATATTTCTAACAAATAAATACGTACATAGGCACTGGTCAGGATAAAAACAGCAATTTTCAATTTGCAAGACAATCCCTATAAACTAAGATTTTCAGCCAATTTATGGTGATTCCATCGCCATTATTGGCGATATCATTGGCTACTTCCAATGCCATATTTCCAGGCGATTACCCCTCAATTATCATTTAGGGAAATATGTTCAAACCCAAAAAATCTTTGTGGATTTGCACGTTCCAAATTCCGTGGCGATACTTAAGTATTCGCTGCACCTCCTAAAACAGGCTAGTTATACTTGTTATAAATACGTATATTGAAACTATGTTATATAGCTGTGATTGTGCCTCCAGGATGACCCAACCCTTGCCCAGGTCAGGTCCGTCATCAGTCAGGCCCTAACGATGGCCGACGCCCTGCTGGGATCCGAAACGTCAGATTTTGACTAAGGGCTAAAGTCCACCTTACCATGGCCCATTAACATTGTCTTGATTGTTTTCTCTTTGATGATTTATAGATGAATTTTGGCGCAACGGAGTATGATAAGTTACCTCATTTTCAACCCTTGAGTTAATATTTTCTTCAACTACTTTATCACCAAAAATCAACTTTGATTAACACAGTTTGGTACATTAAAACAGCTTCTTTGAGCTAAAAAAGTGACTTAAGTGGAAACAAATTTAATTTAAAAATTTAAGTTGATTGACAAAAGACAGGGTAGGTCGTCTTGACGTTTCAGTGCAGGGAGCTGAAACCCTACTGGACTGAGGCTGTTTTAGGACTGTGTCCTCTTCAGCCATTAAGATTTGTTTGTAAGGACAGGGGTAAAGTTAACCTGGTGAAGCGGGTGGCCGCATCTTCAAAAGACTCGCTGACCAGCTAAGGGTCAAGCATTCGCCTACAACAACAACTTCACAAACCGATAAGAGAATTTAACTGGACAGATGTTTAATATTTACCGTACAAACCGTCATCTGATTTTCTGAAATGTTATTGGTTTACTGTATTTCTTAGTTAACCTTTTGTAATTAACATTTTTACGTCTAAGTTTATTGTATCCATATTCGAGTTCATCCCTCATATGAGCTGTAATAATGAGTGTTTGAGTCTTATCTGGTTATCCTGCTTAAAAAAAAACAACCAAAAACGACCACCCGCCTTCTCTCAACTTAAGTTCTTCCCCCAGTAGCTCTTTTAAGTTTGACATCTGCACATGACTACAGAGGAGTCATTTCATTGTTTAGGGGGCAATAAAAAAAGAAGCTCCTCCGAATAAAACACCGTTGGATTCTATCATATGTTTTCCAGATTGGTGGATCCAAGTTGGATCCACCAATCTGGAAAACATATGTTAGAACTCTATTGTATTGATAAAAACACTCGACCAAACACTAGATTTTATTTGATCTCGCCACGGGTTTCACCGCCACTCCCAGTTTGACCGTGGATTTCGCCTAGACGCAGGCTTCGGTTGTCCGACTCCCCCGGTCCGTGTCCTGCCTCAGGAACATCCTCGAGGCTCGCAGATTTATGTTCCTCCTGGAGGTGGTCCATGTAGCACACTTCCTGTACACTCTGGACATACAAGACAACGTTTAGATCACTCCCTCCTCGCGTGCCAAGCCCGCCGTAGACTGCAGAAATGGCTTAACAAAATCAGCTGTAACACTTATATTCCAAATTATTTAAGTACAAGAAATAAAATGGTATGCCGTATGCTAATGGGTATGATTAATACATTTTTATCTTTTGTATACTGAAGAAGATGTGCTATATATATAGCTGATTGCAGTTATACTCAAGCTTTGCGTTTGCAATGGGGGGAGGACACAGTTTGATAAAATTTGGTTCATAAATTTACGGTATGATATAGTATAACACATCTACCATTGCCATAATGTTCTACCATTGCACCTAAACAATAGAAACAAATAAATTATCAAACATTCGTACACTATTACAAATTATTCATTACATTAAAAACTCATACAAAACTGTAAACAATCCTACTTTGACAGTTATCATTGTGTATCACAGCTTTTTGTTGCTGCTTAGTTCAAATTATCTGTTGTCATATATGCACAAACAAAATAATAATAGTGCTGCACCCTGTTGGGAAACCTTATAACTTTTTAATGCTATTGCATATTATAGAACCAACTTGTAAAGTTGAAACAGCTGACTAAATTCTTTAATTCCCTTTAAATATGAATACTCATAAGTTTAACATAGGGAACTACAGACCCACTGGGGCGGAGCCCGAAAGGATTTTTGAGATAAGAATATGCCTAAATGTTGATAGGGAATGTAAGCTATTATCATGCCAAATTTCAGACCAATCCGTCCAGTAGTTTATGCATGATTGAGCAACACACAAACATACACACCAACATACTTTCAGATTTATAATATTAGTAAGATATAACAGATAAGACTTAAATATTCACTATTACAACACAAATGAGGGTCTGAACTCGAGATAATGAACTCAGAAGTAAAAATGTTGGTTACAAAAGGTTATCGAAAAACAGTTAACCATTACTTCACACTCTTTACAAGATGAGCTGGTTTGTGTCCGGTAAATATTAAACTTCTTCCAGTTACATTCTTTCGTCGGTTTGTGAAGTTGTAGATGAATGATTGACCTTTAGGTCATCGTGTCTTTTGAAGATGCGGTCACCCCGCTTCACCAGACTATCCACTGTCTTTACAAACAAATCTTTATGACTGAAGAGGACACAGTCCTAAAACAGTCCGGTAGGGATTCAGCTCCCTGGACTGAAACGTCACGACGACGTCCCCTGTCTTAGACAATCTTACACTTTTCCGCCTTGTCTTTCCTCTCATGTAAAAAGAAAACAAACAAAAAGTACCCCCGCTGCAGCAAACCTGCTGTCTAAGTGAATTTCCATTTGGCTGAATTGATTTTCCATTAATTTTATTTAAATAACATAACCGAGTACCTAGGTTTGCTGCCACAGGGAAACTGATAATGTGTTTTTAGTAAAATTTTATAGATTTGTCAAGTTTGAACTGAATTAGTTGTTAAATATATATATAACTAGCTGAACCCGGCAGACGTTGTCTTGCCTTTGACTATTTATAATTTAAGTACCGTAACGTTTAATTGTGTTATTGTATATGAAGTGCTTATAACTAAATTAAAATACGTACGACAACTAATGAAACACATATAGTACAAAGGATAGCCGATTCTTTATCATTGCTCTTATATTAATGCTAGTGGGTAGACAATATTTTTTGTCTTTCTATTCGGCTCAATCACGTCCTGAATGCACTAGCCACAAAGTGAGCTGCAGTGTACTATATTTTCTCCCTTCGTGTTTGTTACTGTAAAATTATGCAGCGTAAATGTTGTCGTTAAAAATACGTTTTGATTTCAGATTACTTTTTTAAAACTCGCTTTAGATTTAATTCAACTTCGATAATTTTTATGGTAAAACTGGGTACAATGCTAACATGGTAGCCATATGATTTTAAAAATATAAGTTATTTGAAGATGCTACTGGAGTAACACAATCCCATTTTTTCTCCAAACCTGCCTTGAGGATTTAGTCGACGGAGTCAAGTAACATGTAATCGCCTCTTTTCTAACGGTTGCGTCAAGGCAGTACGCTGGGTCCTCCGCTGTTTTCCCAAATCCTACTTTACGCGGGACGAGTTATACGCGGCGCCCCGCTGGCCCCGTAATAGCGTCCAATCGCCCTTAGGAAATAAAATTGCCTGAGCGACCTCATAAACGGGATAGACGGTCCGAAATTAAAAAACCCCGAGTCCGGAGCCCCGAAAGAGCTGCGGTGTTGATTTACCTGTTTTAAAACTATTCGGTACGCGGCAGTTAGGCCGTGATTTACTGACGAGATTTGAGTAAATCTTCGAGGGCGATTAAGAGAATTGGAGAACCTGATGGGACGCACCGTCCAAAATAAATTTGCCCTGGAGATTTCGTTAGCCTAATTGTTTGGAGAGGACAGTCGGGTAACAAGTTCTAACAACGAAGCTGTTCAAGTTAAACAGTTGAGGTGCAACTTCTTCAACTAAAAAGCACAATTTTTCTTTAAGGTTATTTCTATTATTCAAATTTATTATTAAAGTAATCTGTCATTGATTGTAGACTGTGAAAGTACTACCTAAATAGTACTATTATTGATTAGCTTATTTATATTTGTAAACAAAACGCGGACTTTATAAGCTTATATTTGATTCCAAAGAGAGCATTTCAGTAAAGGATTCATGTCACTTTCGCTATCGCAATTGAACGCTTCGCTAAAACCTTTAGCGTTTCTTACAATTTCATTGACTCGCACCAAGCTGGATATCTGGATGCCATAAAAACTATCTGGAAATGACGGCACTCTCTGGGCATCGCAGAATAAATGGGCCAAGGCTATGAAAAAGTTGTTCCTTTGTGTAGTCCACTGTAGGCAACATCAGGTCAGAAATCCATCCTTGGCTGTTCCGATATGATTTAAATGATGTAATTATCCCCGCATCGTCTGCTACACTCCTAATTGTTGATTCTCTGTCGTACAACGTCTCTATTGTACTTTCCTTAAGAGGCAGTAGTTTCTTAACTTGTTTGTCGACACATTTCATCTCTTGCTGGTAGTTGGTGGAAGTTACGTAGTCCCACCAGTAGTTAAGGCGACCAAGTTGATCATAATGCGCTCCTTTGACATCCACAGAGTGAGCTAACGTATTACCCAAAACAAAGCCAAGCCTGCCGTAGTGTATGTACTTTGACCAACTCAACGATATCACCGGTTCTCCGAGGAAAGAGTCTGGAACCAATATCTCGTTGGCCAAAGGATCGTACAGAACATTCGGTCGAAACAGGTTTAGTTCTCCATAGTCCATGAATCGGCATAATTTGCTATCAAGGTTTTGTTTGAAGCAGTCTGTTTCAAGTCTGATCCTAAACTTCCAAATCTCTCGATAGGTTTGGTAAAAGTTTCCACCGACTTCAAGGGCTTTGAAGAATTTGTCTAATGCATCTTCGTCGAGGAAGGATTGATAAAATCCAATAGTGAGTTTCAAATTGTCTACCTTTTCCAAAGCTTTCTCCTTCGTCAGCTCATTCATCCAAGTACAGAGTTTTATCTGGTTTACGAACTCTTTCTCAATATTTTCCATCAAACTATTGACAATTTTATAGTTAGACTCGTCTCTCGTCTTTACAGCTAAGGCGGTCAACATTTCTGGCATATTCAGAGCCATGAATGTATTAAAACAATAATTCGAATCTCTCGTAGGTTCCGGGTGGTAGTTGAACTGCATCAAATTATACCACACGATGTAATTAGCTAATTGTCTTTTAGTAGAGTTTTTAATAAGTGATATGATTTCAGATAGATACTTTGGACTCTCGCCCATGATCAAGTCCTCATCCTCCAATGTTTTGCGGCTTGCCCGATTCCAAATCATTAATTAAAAAAAGTCTTCCAGTCGAAAAGGTCGTACGTTTTTATAAACTCACGAACAGTGGTCGTGTGGTTTTCGTACTCGTGAGGCATCAGAGGCAATACTTTATTAGTCAGTTTTGCGATTTTCATATCAAACTCCAGCAATTCCTTTGCTTCCGCCATTTCTGTACCGTTCTTAACCCCAGCCATGATCAGGATTGAGGAGTACAATGCTATCAGAGACTTCTGACAACTTTCTTCGCATATTACCAAGGTCTGCGGTTGAATGAGGTTGTACGGGGTTGGTACGGATATACACGCTAAATATTTTGATGTGTTAGGATTCCGTTTGAATCTGATTGAAAAGAATGCATCGATCTTTAACCCCTCGACCCTAAGACTCCATAAGGATTCCAGTAAATCCCACCGGTCTTCGTATTTGGTCCACTCGTCTCTTTCTCTTGCCGGGAACCCTCCACAGTTCTGGACGAACATAAACATTATCACCCCTATCGACCAAGTCGGGTCTTGTTGCAAACACTGTTTATACGCAATTTTAGCTTTATAACAAGCTTTATGCTCTTGTGTTTCTTCTAAGTTTTCCAAAAAGTCCGTAATATTCTCCAGAAGCAGTGTACCGGTTCTATCAGGCCACCACTTTCATTGCCCTTGAAAATTCTTCCGCAAGCGAATCCATAAAAGTTGTCACATGGACTGATATCCTGCAGAACGTATTCTTTCACCATGGATTCTAAATCTTTACACTTCGACGTCATGCATCTTTTGTCACCGATGAATACTATTAAGATCCCACAGAAAACTGCAGCAATTTGAACAATTATCACTAATTGCAATAATTTTAACCTCTTCATTATGAAACTGGAAGAACATTATTTACCTTATTACTTAACCAAGTAGAAGAAAAGAAATAATGTTTTTTTTTCATTTATAATTGTTATTATAGACAACCTAATGCGGCTATTAGAGGGAAAAATTTGTAGAAACACTAAAAAACAAGATCAGCTTTTTGAGAAAAGATAAGATATTTACAAAAGGTTTTGATTATATCTAACTGTTGTGTAGATCGTGAGTATTTCCATAATCTTCGTGAGTCGCCTGTAATGCTTCGCAATTGCTCGAATTCGAGCAACAGGTACACTAGTTTGATTTAATTTGGAACCAATATGTTTGCAGAAACTAAAAAGTGTAAAGTAACACTCCTAACCTTTGATCGATACTGTTGTGCTATCTTTCGATATAATACTATAATGAATAATAAAACTGTTTGATTTTATGCTTGTAGAGTGATAGTAGTGGCATTATCCACAACTGTGTTCAGGTTTTGTATATTTGGTATACGGAAAACAGCAAAGTTGTCATTATTTCACTTGTTTTAATGTTTTAACACCTCCACGGTTATGATTTTAGCGGACAAGCTATGACAACAAGAAAGATCAAGGATACACCAGCATATCATACAGATATGTTGATTAATATGACCGCTAAATATAAAAATAATTAAATCATATGTTATTTTTGGCAAAGACAAGTCATTTTCACAATCATTTTTTTCTTTATCCATCTTCCTCATTCGAAATTTGTCATTGCCATCAGTACAAGTGTCAAAATATTTCCAACCCACACTATTGATAACCTCCAGTCTTTCACATATTTCTTACCTGTATTTATCAATGACCGAAATTCAATTTTTCTCCATCCTAACATTCGTTTATGAAAATTTGACGGTGACATCTCCAAATCCAGACGGACCGAGATAATTCCAAGGCCTGACAAGACTGATGCAGCCGTCTGTCCGTCTGTTTGTCACAGTCATGTGACCTCGGGAACAAGATCTTATCTCGTTAGGAAGCGATTGAAGCAACGCGCTCTATAACTTTCAAAGTGACGCGAAGACAAAGAGAAATAAGACTGAGTAAAGGCATCGGTGATGGTGAGATAAGTGAGTGGATACTAGTCATAGTAGCGCTATGATCCTAGAGGATTACTTCGTCTTTTCTTTGGGGTCAGTGTTCAGAAACCGAGACTAAATTACTGTCAATTCGATGGTTTTAGATAGTAAATGTGATGAACAATTTCATTTTTACCATCAAAATTTATATTTCACTAATCGCTTTAGTTTGATTAGTTTGAGGCTTTGGAGTAAATAGGTAGATTGGCTACAACTGCGACCATGGTTGTGACAACTCTACTTACATTTACTTACAACGTCTACTTACATGCTAATCCTCAAGTTTGTATTACAAACTTTAGCCAGTAACATTTTTGGCTTGTATACTTAACGGCTTGTAAAATGAACACTACGCATCATCCTCGTGTGGTTGTCATTAAAGCTTTGTTACCAACCAACACCAGCTGTTTGTACTAAACTACTTCTGTTCCTTTGAAAACATAAATTTCCTCAGTGTCTAAATTAGAGACTAACCTGCTTTGTTGTCCGAGTATAACCTTCTCTGATAATTAACAGAATGTCGAAACTCTTTGTCATCTGGGTTGGACAGTTTTGTGAAGCTGTATTTGAAGGCCGACGTTTTGGACACAGTTCTCCAGGGGGAAAATCCAGTAGTGAAGGCAAACTCAAGCTACTGTTTCAATAAGACTTAGTGAAGTGTGCGTTACTATGACGAATGTGCACGACTCAGACGATACTGCAGCGAACACATGTCCGTCGCAAGGAATGTCAATTACTTCTGCATCTGCTGAATGCACCAGAATATAAACCTGGCCCGAGTGTCAGCGGCGCCTCCCCACATAGAGCTGTTGGGGACATTATCGACAGTGGAGTAACACATGTCGCGTTGTCGTTGTTTGCTTGCCAGGTTTACGGTGTCGTGAACGTCCTGGCGTGGGCGTGTGTTGCTGTCTTGTAGGCGAGCCCCTCGTAACATGGGAGGTTCATGAGACTGTTCTCACAGAGGTCGCAGGCGATATGAAAATTCTGTTGGAACTTCGCTTTTCGTGGAAATTCTGAAAGGTTGTTCATCTAGGACGCAAGAGTGCTGAGGATAATCACCTAGATTGGAGGTTAGAGAGATTAGATTTGCCTTTCAGTTAGTACTCGAATAAACGTTGGTTTGAAGTGTAAAGGTAGGAATCAAAATAGTGACATTAATTACCATGACAAAAATCAGAAGTGAACGATGTTGCAAAATAGTTACGAAAGTTGTGGCAAAATAATAATGAATAACCTTTTATGGCTTGGTGTGGTTTTTATTTCGTGCGTTACAAAACGAATGGATACGTCATATGACGCGGCAGGACTTTTATTTTAAAGTATTTTAAACGATATATTCAGAGATATTTTGGTGTGTTTCAATTTAGTTTAAGTGCTTTTTCGTCATAAAAAATTACTTTTTTGCCAAACAAATAAAATTGTGTACGACAAAACTCATTTTAAAGACTCTGAGACAGATAACCTTGTAAATAACAAGTTCTTCACGAAACCTAACCTCAAATCCACACATATCTGCAACATCGCACTGCCCTGCTACATTCACCTTCTCCCGCTGAGTCCTGTTACATAAACAAATATTGAATTACACCTTGTTTCGCGTGCGCCCGCCACATTTCTCAGACCGGGTGTTTATTTTCCAGTGTAATTGACTTGTAATGTTACCGGGGATAAATCAAATTTTTACATTAACTTTCTAATCCGAAGATGTCTCCGGGATATATTGTTTGCCTTTCGCGGGGATGCGGTACAGTTTTGCCCTCTATTTATCACTACCCGCCGTTCCATTAGAAATGCATAAGTATCGTTGGCCAATACGGCAGCGCAGGTAAGGCGATATTCATCTTCAGTAATGGTGTTGTCATCTCTAGTTTCTGTTTATTCTACTTCTCTCTGTTCACTGTGAGATGTGTTCTTGCTGGTTCAGTTGTACAATTTGAATACTGTTTGTCCGAGAGATACAAATATTTTTGTGGTTTATTTTTTTTATGTAAACAAAAAATGAAAAGAATATACATAGGATACAGGGGCTTTGTATTCACAATCTATTATCAACACGTTGATTGTAAAGTATGCCAAAACTTTGATAAGTGTTGTCCTAAAATAAAAATAATCTTGAAATACCCTTTTATAAGTATATGCATTTATTTTAAGTATATGCATTTATTTTGCCTGGTTCCACTAAATGTCCATTTATATCCTCTATAATGTGGATATAACCTAGGGATCACATTTTCCTACTGTAAGGCATAATCTATTTACTAACTGGGTATTGAAGCACAAGTGTGCATAAGTGTGAAGCATAAGTGTGTGGCTATATGTGGTTAGTATGGATAAGGATGAATACATCCTTATCCATACTAACCACATATAGCCACACACACTTTTTATATTAGAACAAAATGTTTCATACCCCGACACAGAGTATGCTACTGCTGAAGTTCCATATTATTTTCTAGCTTTTCATTCAGTAATAAGAAAGTTGCTTTGAGGTGATTAAAAAGTTGAAGGGAAAAAAGGAAGGATGTTTATTGCGGCACAAGGAGGTGCCACATTCTCGAAATGTGCAAATTACAAACATTAGTACAATTTTTTACCATTCTCTTCCCAAGCATTCGAAAATGGCCAACACAACACGTTGGAAGCATGGCGTATAGTGATGCGGAATTCACCAGCATGAGACAACGAAGCAAGAGATCGTCGCGACATCAAAGCCAAAGCCCCGGGGCAAGGTCTCACAATGAGGACTCCAGGGCATCTGATGAGTCCGTCTGTCGGCGAGGTGGCACGTCCAGGGTCACACAAGGGACAGACCCAAAACTACGCTCGTTTGTGAGATAAAAAGCTCTGAGATGTAGACTATACACATCTAGAAACAGTTCAAGATCGCAATCGAGTCGCCGGAAGTCTTCCCCCCCCCCGGACAACTACCCCTCCAAGCAGGTTCCTACGTCATATTGACGTCAGAGATCAGGGGCAATTTTTCAGTCACGGAAACTCTAGTTTCGTTGTCAAACTGTTCTAAAGTAACCTAATCCAACTAACTTAACTTGCTGTAATTTATTCAAAATTCTGTTTGATATTCCCCACCCTTTTCTGCTATCAAACGGAATTACTAGAATTAAAATTACAATCTATCTATCTATCTATATATTAATAGGCAAGCATGTTTCTTTAAAACCTTTTTTCTCAGCTCGTGTGCATCGTGGGGTAAATCTACGCATACCGTTAGAAAGCTATTTTCCTG